ATAAGTATAAGTATGTATATATATATATGTATACACAGAGATGTATACATGCATATTGTGCGCACATGTATTTATTTGTGTAACCAATACATACGCAAGTATGTCTAAAAGGCTGGGTGGGTTGAAAGCACAGTTTTTGCAAAATCCGAGTCCCTCCAAAGCGTGGCCTGCGAAGGGCGGTGCTACCCCTCGAAACTTCTTCTGCTGACGAGGCCGGGGCTGAGCGAACCAAGTGTGCATTTTGCATGCCGGCTATGCGGCTGAAGTCTCATTACGTTGCTAAGAGCATGGAAGCTTGCGCTGATTCACGACAACACCATGCAGTGCCCGCCGTGGCACACTTTGTAATCTGGAGCACCGCAGTCAACACTGCTGCCAGCACGAAAAAATTCGTCACCATGGACTCGAGGCATGCGATGCACATACTGTTCTGCCTGACAGCGCCAGCAAAAGTGATGCCAGATTCTGAATTAAGCCTACTGAAGTGCTGCCTGTTCCTCTTCCAAACCCGTTGTGTCACGGAACCAGGATGACTCGACGGAACCTGCATTGGACAATGGGGCAAGGTGCGCTGGTCTGCTTGGGGGTTTGGGGGATTGTCGGGTTCACAGAACTGCGCCCTTCAGCTGCTAGTCATGATTCAGGCGCCCTGCATGCTAGACGTGCCGCTCAAAGACCTGATGCGTTCGCTCATGCTGCACGAAACCTACATCTCTGAAGATTGCTGTCCGCAGCCATTGTGCTGACTTGAGCCGATCGTTGACTGCAAGGATACTTCTTATGACATGCCTTGGCAACACATGTGCCAGAGCACTTGCTGGATCTCTCGCAGACTTGCATCTTTGTCTCCTCTTGAAGCATACGCACCAATCCATGATGGAGCCTGTGAGCACTTCGCGCTACCAAGGCAGGAGGGCCGCATGTTGTAGGCAACCTCTCACATCCCCTCAGAATCCTCATGTCTTCACTCGATGCCACAAAGCCCGGATCTAACAACTGTGTGCGCATGGTCCTGCCGGTGGGGATCGTACAAAAGATGGCGGACTTTTGACACGATGTTTTGGAGCTTTCAGGGGTTGCTTTGAGGCTCCTTTCCCAGCTTGGGTGCAGAAGGGACCGAAGCAGCACATCGAACCCAAAATGAGTGGCGAACGGTCTGGGAGGGCGGGCAATCGCCGTCGCAGAGAAGCTACATGACATCGCTCTTAACATGGCATTTTGCATTTCTTTTGCATTTAAGTAATCTGAAAGGGACTTCGAATTTTGATAACCGCCAAGAAACTAAAAGAACGGGAGAGGACAAGCAGGATGTTCAGGAAAGGCATACAAGACCCGTTGCAGCAGAGGCAGTTGAAGAATTGAGGACATGCCTTGCCTTACACGGATTGCTATTTTGAGTTACCACAGGGAGCATTGCGAGCCCGGAAAGGCCAGACATGAAGCGAACCTTGCATACCTTCCAAGCACGCTAGAGTGATCCAGCACCAGCCTTATGTTAGATGCAGTCCACATCTCCCGTGGAGGCCAGAAGGAGATTCTCGAGCAGGAGGCCGGGTAACAAGCAAACATCAGGATGATAGGATACCATTGAGAGCAAGATTCCCACAATTTTCCAAGTGTCGTCGGCAAGAACCCATGGAATAGCTTGAGCAAAAGATATCAGCACTCAAATCCTGTTTCTTCGAGTCAAGGTGAGCACTGGTTGCTCGGGTGCCGCATGTCTGGTGATCCTCTTGGAAGGTTCATGCCAAAGTCTGGTTCTTGGAGCCTGTCTGCCAAAAAAGCGTGAACTCGAAAGAAGCGGACGGGACCACTGGACTAGACCCTGAACCGAGAACAGCTAGGACTGGGTCAGCTCCTTCATCGCAACCTTCGCAACGAGAGAGGCTCCACGGCTCCAGGGTCGCATGGTTTCTGAGAGTTACGTCGTTTTGTAAATCTATTCTTGCAGAGTTCGTGAAGATGATCCGAAACTTAGTGAACGCATCTGAGTATGGGGATTTGCAGTGGCTGCCAATGGCTTCCGCAGTATTCCAAAGGTGGCAGTGGACCACCTGTGCAATCCCGAGAAAATCCTTACACAATACTCAGACAACACGGCTACTACTCCCTATAAGCACGCAACCCTAAAACAAAGTAGAACACCTGGACCTGCACAAGCGTACTTACAAAAACCCAAATGGGCTCTTCAAAGGATGGCGTCTGCCTTGAGCTGGACGAACCTTTTCCCCCAGGGCTTTAGTTAAGGTTCTGGGGCGGGGGAATGCGTGGGTTTGGGGTTCAGGGCTTGATTCGGGTTTTCTGGGGGTGTAGGAGTGAGGGGTTGAAAGTTCCGAAAAAAGTTTGGGATTTAAGGTTCAGTGATGAAGGTCCAGGACTTGAAGTTGAGACATTTGGCGTGTGCAGCAGCTTGAGAGAGGCATGCAGGAGCCTGAGCTGCTTTTTGCCCGTGCTACGAAAAAAGTTGAATTTTCATGGTGACTCCATCTTTTGATCTGTCTGAGCTTGGGCTTGGTCCATGGTCTTCATGTGAGGCGCCCTGTCACCTTGTTCAGGTAGGCTAGGAAACCAGCCCATCTTCCTTGCGCGTCAGGAGCATTCAGCGCTGCAGGCCGAAGTGCACAGGATCAAGAAGGCCCAGCGCCCCGTCCGGCTTTGGTGGTGCTTTAGTGGTGGCAATACTTACAGCCGCCGTAGGAGCGGCGCTAGCAGAAGCATTGGTGCTAGAAGTCGCAGTCGGCATAGCAGTTTTGTTCGCAATCGAGGGAAGAAGACAAGCCGGGTGGTACGAGGGGTCTTCACGCTAACGGCCATGCTGACATGATCCACAGCAATACTTCGACAAGCAGCATGCAAAGTTTCTGTGTCTTAGTCTCAACGGCATCATGCGCAGGACCTGGCACAAGCTTTTGATTTCGGCCGCCAGCTCCGCAACGCCCGGAGCCAAGTCGACTGGTCTTTGGGGTTTCAGGGCTGAAAGATGAAAGTCTTGAGCCTCGTCATGCACTTGGATGGGCTGTGAAAGGTTGGGGTAAGCCCGGGTCATCGAAACCTTGCACAAGTATTAGAGCTACAGTACGGACGGTTTCTTTATGTCTCTGCCTTGAGCTGGACAAGCCTTTTCCCCTGGGGCCTTAGTTCTAGTCAGGATTCGGGTGCAGGGTGGGAATGAGTGGGATGTGGGGTTCAGGGTTTGACTAGGCTTTGGGGTGTAGGGGTCAGGAGGATGAGGGCCGCGATTTGAAGTTGAGATATTTGGCGTGTGCACCGGCGTGGGAGAGTCATGCAGGAGCCTGAGCTGCTTTTTGTTCGAGCTACGAAAAACGTTGAATTTTTAATGTTGACCTTATTTTTTTGACGTGTCTGAAATTGGGCTTCGTCGAGACTACTGCTACTGCTTGAATCGAGGCCTTGCTACTCCATGATCTCCATTTGAGGTGTCCTGTCACCCTATTATTTAGGTAGGAAAAGGAAAGCAGAGCATGTTCCTCGTTGCGCGTCAGGAGCACTCAGCTCTGAGCCCACTCCGCTCTGGTGGTGCTTTGGTGGTGCTTTGGTGGTGGTGATACTTACGACAGCCGTAGGTGCAGTACTTGGTCGCAGTAGCCGCAACAGAGAGAAGAAGACAACCGCAACAGAGAGAAGAAGACAAGCCAGGCTATCCAGACCAGATTGGGTCTTCATGCTAGTGATTGCTAGTGGTTATGTTTACATAATCCGCAACGATGCTTAGACAAGCGGCATGCAAAGACTTTGTGTCAAAGTCGCGACGGTATCCCGGACAGGAACAACAACAAGCTGTGCAGAGCCTCAGCCATCTTATCCGCGAGGCAAGAAGCCATGTCGACTTGTCTCTGGGGTTTCAGGGTCGCAGGGTTAGAGTAAAGTCGTGAGCCTGAGGGTGTACTTGGAAAGGCTCTGAAGGGCGCGGGTAACCCGGATAATCGCGTTGCATTTCCTTTATCTCCCTTGACACGACAACCAACCCGGAACAAGCAAAACCAGTCAGCTTCACATAAGGCATCTAACAGGCCGCATGCAATACGTCCCAGAGAAGGATAAGAAACCCTCATGTGGACTGCCATGAAAAGAAGGATGCTCGTACTAGGGCGCCCGTAGGGGTTCCGTCTTTCTTTGGGGAAGCAAAGAGAAAGTGAATTTGAATCAAGATCGTGGTATTTGTTGACCTCGCCATGTTGTTTCGATGATATCGAGGGCTTAGATGGAACATTCGCCAAATTCGGGTCTTTCGTTTTGCGATCATTTCGAGGGTGTATGCGAGGTCCATGGAGGTCCATACTTTTGAGAAGCGCGCAGGTGGCAATGACTATGGCCGATGACATTGAGAGAATGCAGGCGCTGGGATTTGCATCAAAGGTTCTCTGCCTTTTTCCGAACGTCATACTGATTGGTATTCCTAGGTATTGCCCGCTGACTGGCCTTTCTGGGGATTGCAAAAAGGGTTGGTCTTTTTGTGGTTTGCATCCGGATTAGTGTTGAGTTAAGGGCTGGGATACGTGCAGACCCTCTTGGGGTGCCTTGTGGGACGATCCTGTTGATTCGACCGCTTTTCTGATCTGGCCAGGCGCTAAGTGCCGATCTGCTGAAGGGGAGTGGCCCCTGCTTGGGGTGTATTCACACTAATGTTCAGTACAGCTCTGGTGAAGGCAGCAGGTACTATTTGAAGCTTTATCATCATTGTCACTTCGGCTTAGTTACTGTGATTGTCCTGTAGTTCTGGCAGGTGTAAGCTGGCATTTGTTGGAAATTCACATGGCATACGACTTTAGCTGATGAAGAAGGAGTTGCACTTCGGAATGTATGGAGTTGATTCTTTTAGTGCCGATATCACATGCTCTGCATGTATGGAGTTGATTCTGTTCTTACCGATATCACATGTTCGGCCATCAATGGTTATATGATAGGATGTTAGTCTGCAAGGGATCCTCCGTAGACCTTCGCTCGCATGATTGCATCCCGGCCGCGCTGCCGTCCCTCAGGAGCGCATCCTGCGCGAAGTCCTGGAGAAAGCAGTGGACCAGGTGCAGGACGGGCATGGCGTTCAAGGGTTTCTGAACACGCGCAGGTCCTTTCTTGGAAGGCTTCTGGAAACACGAAGCCCGTCGTGAATTCAGCAGCCCTTGATGCGATGCAATTTGAACTGACAAAGCAATGTGATGATCCAGTGCTTGGCTGCAACTGCCACTACTTTCAAGAGGGCAAGGCGATGCGCAAACAGCTTGTTCTACGTGATGGACCAGCAGAAACAACCAGCATGAAGAACCCGAAACCTCCATACTGAGGTGAGAACTAGCTTTGCAACCTGGAGTCACATGAGAGCACCATGACATGTGTGCATTGCTGTTGCGCATCCGTGCCTTGCCCTGAAATTGCAGGCAAGATTTTGTAATGGCTATTGGGGAAAGAGGGGGGTTGCAATCCTTGCCTGGAAGAAGATGATTTCAGGCATTGACTCCAGCCGGCCAGCTTGGGGTCGGTAGTTTGCGCTGCAAGTATTGTTTGCCTTGTCCTGTCGTGCCACACGGGCTCTTTCATGTGAAGTGCGCCAGATGCGGATGCACAAATTGAATGGAGCACTGGAAACCCCACTTCCAGGACAAAGTGTTGGCGGAGCTCGCCTTCAACAAGATCCACAAGGCCAGCGCGCACCTGATGCACGTCTTACCAGTGTACAGGTTAGTTACGTACTGGCCCTTCTCTGAGATTATGTGGGTGCAGGACTTTGCGCTTTTCCCCTTCCCTTCCCTGAGGCGCCTTCCACGCCATCAGTTGGATCCACATCGACTGCGGCGGCGCTAGCCTCAGAAGAGCTCGTCACGTATACCTTTCACTTAATTAGGGCTCTGCCCAGAACTGGATGTTGGCCACATGAATCCGCCGATGGTGCCCAAATACCCTCGCATCCCTCGCAGTTCCCTGTGCTCAACCCTAAGGTTGTATGAAAACTGTTTTTTTGGGGGTTTCTGGTCAAAAATGCATACCGCAAGCGCAAAGAAATCCAGCAATTTTAGTAGAGGGAATCGGCAAGCGGTATCTGCTTGAAGTGTGGCAGCATCATGCTTGGCGTGGATTTGGAATTCTGAGGGGGCTTCAGTTTTTTCTGCAGAAACTTGCCGTTCCAGTGACTATTTTTGCAATGTTTGGGGTGCATAAGGGGACTTTCATTTCCAGAGATACTCAGATGAGAAAAGTTCCACCTTTCAGAGGCTTCCCCCCCGAAGCGGCACGAAACAGGACCCCAAGTCCAATCTGGACCCTGCTGCGAAAGCGGAGGAGGCGGGTGTTCCTAAGTTCATTGCCAGCCATCAAGCCATGCCCATGTCGCATTTGGAAATAGCAGTGGCCTATTCTCAGTGCTGAGTCGCGCTCATGTTGCGAGCAGGGTTGGGGTGTATTTTAGGAAGCTCTGCTTATGCTAACCGCATGATGTATGTACCCTTTCGTGTTGCTTCATCTCCTCAATGCATTGGCATCTTCGCCCTTTGCCAGAGCAGCCAATTCTCCGGCGACCCTCCTGCCGTGGCAAGTGAGGAGGAGACAAAGGCCTCCAAGTGTGCTGTGTTGAGGGCCACTGATTGTGCAGATCATCCATGTTTCACACATCTAAATCAAACCCTCTTTCCTCGAATTTGTGCTAGGAAGCCTGCCGCCAACCTGAGTTGCGGGGAGTGGCAGACAAGCGTGCCGGGCTCAGACCCAGACAAACTTAAACCTTGCAACCTAGAAGAGGGCCTGGGTTCAAGCCTGTTGTCTGATACCCCGTTGTCTTGCTGCACCCTGCTTGGTGCATGGTTCCAGCTCACGGCAGTCACAGTGCAG